AAAATGGCATGTTCCATAAATCCGAAGTCACCAAAAATAGCTTTTTGAAAAGTTCAAGTGGAGGAAAGGCAAATTTAAGAAAAGCTTTGAAGCATTAACATCAAACCTAAAAGTGGTTGTGCTCCATGAAGACAAACAACAAATCGTAAAGAAAAGCACCATAGAAATGCCCAAATTCCAAAATAGCAAAGTGAATTGGAAGAAAGCTTCATGAAGAAAAGTCAATTGTTACTAGCAAGCCCCAGTGCAGTTTCTTCTTAATCAAAACAAAAGGACTAGATGACAAGCATGATTACATGCCCGATAAGAAGAGTTAGCAGCTAGCTACAAAATCGATTGCACCACGACTAGTCTCAAAGGGCACAAAGCCGTATCAAATCTTAAATGGCACGAAGCCGAGTATTGCTTCAATGGCTCAAAGTCATCGCCCGCACAAGGCATCAAATGCTCCAATGGCTCAAAGTCCTCGCCCGCACGAGTTAAAACTGCATAAGACATCAAATGCTCATTGCTTGAATGAGCTGAAACTACACAAGGCATGAAACCCCAACAAATACATCATGAAATACGAGTGACTTGATCCCTCAACAAGGGTATGTAGGCAATCTAGGGCTCTACTTAGATGCAGTCACAAAATCAAATAAACATCCAAATCCCCAAGCTATGATTTATTCATATTAGAATCAAAGGGTATTCCTTTATCAAAAGAAGGGTTGTAATTAATAGGAGCATAGCCTAGAATGGGTCGAACTCAAATTAATAAAATCCTCTTCAGAAAAATGAACGAGGGTGAAATTGTGTCAAGTGAATTATTTGTTTACATATTGTGTACAATTTTTGCTCAACATAAGGATAGCGAGAGTTCGGCTAAGCCACACAATTGGCAACCTAATTTGGTATTGAATTCGCCATTCACGAGATTCGAACTTAAGACCTCTTACTTTCAAGTGAAGAAGAATATCACCAGACCGTAGTACTAAGTGGTTAGTTGACTGTAGTGTTAAGTGGCTTCTTGAATTTAGTTTTTAGTCTTTTATTTATGTGTTATCTTGTAGAAGAATTTTTTTTTATGTTGTTTAGTTATACCCAAAACTGAGCCGACCTTACTTAATGAGAACATTGGCGCTCTGAGATTTGTACAGCCGAAACGGACCCCAGTTCCCTTAGTGAGATAAAGTTCTATTGTGGTTGCTGATATTGTTTAGTTCTACCATTAGTCAATAAATTAATTTGAATATTACAAACATAATAATATGTACTTTTTAAAAATACTTAATTTTCTTGACAACAAAAGAAAATTACTTTAAATTTCTGTAAATTTCTCAATTATCCGGTAAGATACATGTTTTCTTAGAGATGATAAAGTTGCATGCATGCATGCATGAGTTCTAGACAGAGCTCCGCTCAGCGCCGTCCTCCGGGGCGGCTTCTCCGTTATTCTATGCCTGTGGCGGGCGGCTCTTTCCCGTGGCAACGTCTTTCTTTTTCTTTGTCTCCCTTTCTTCCCGTCTGTCCCAATTAACTAATTAAACCACCTAATTACGAACAAGGAAAAGTTTTAAGTTTCCTATTTCAAATGGGAACGGGATTCCTAATTGCCTCTGGATTTTTCTTGTTACCTCTAATCCTCTCCTACTAATTATGGGATAAATACTCACACACACGCACACATATATATATATGTATATATATGTATATATATGTATACTCATATATATACACGCAAGTCTCTATAAACCGATCGATCTGCATACAAACTTCAACTTCTAACAGCCATCACTCTCTCTTATCCGATTCACAGCCATGAGTTCCGTCAACGAAATCCGAGCCAACGCCAACCAAATTCTCCGTCAGGCAAGTGAGCTCCAGAACGCTAATATGTTCGGACCTCCCAAGAAGAAAACAAACTCCAGCGAGCACTCCTCCGTCAAGTTGGATGAACTAATCGAGAGTGCTAGACATATTTATGAACGGATGGTACAACTCCATCCTGAAGAAGCAGGGAACTGGATTCGGTATGCCCACTTCGAGATGAAGAATGGCGACGTTGCGAGGGCGAGGAATGTGTTTGAGAGGGCGGTGAAGAAGGTACCCCTAGCCGACGACGAGGAGGAGGATGACGGGGCTGAGCAGTTGTTTAAAGCTTTCGCCGAATTCGAATAGTGGTGCAAAGACGCCGAGCTGTGCAAGCTAGAGATCGAGGTTGCACTGAGTAGATAAACAGAAGAGTGTGATCGGCCTTTTTTTTGTTTTTAATTTTCTTAATCTCCGGATTTCCAATTCCTTATAGCAAATTAAATTTATTTTAATATGTGATATTTTGCTTCAAAAAAATAAATAAACCAAAATCCTCCGTTCGGCAGAGAAAAGCCTTTCCCGCTCTCGAAGCGACATTTTTGGAGCTCGGGAGAGTCCTTCGGTTTCCAGTATCCGACATGTAAAAGTAATCTGCTCGGGGGAGTCCTTCAGGAAGTGCTTTCCCAGGACTCAATAACTTCCAGATAAAAGGACTTCCACCGAAAGTGCTTCTGAGCAGAAGTGCTTCCTGAAAAAGTATTTCCAGACAGTCCCTATATCGTGCATTGAGTGGTAAAACTAAAACCTAACAAATTTAACAGCAAGAGACGAGATTACCAATTCAAAGTTCACTGGCCCTCAAGGAGGACGCCGGCGTTGCAAAATGTATGCCATCGGAGAAGACGCTGTAAAGCCGATTGATCAGGCCTTGAGAAACTTCAGCATTCCCTGCGTCTGCCGAAAAATCAAAGCACGAAATTGATTCCGTGAAAAACTACGCCGGCGATGAAGTTAGGAACGGAAAGGAAAAGGGAGTCGAATACCGTAGCAAAGAGGCTTCCCCATCGGAGAATTTGGGGGCTTCCAGCGGCCGCGAGATGGCTGGTAGGAGCTGTTGTATCGGTGTTGCAGTAGCAGAAGCCCCATTCCCGTTACCCAGTGAGAATGTGAGACTAAACCGATTAAATTCGAAAAGAAAAGAAATAAAATAAATCCAATTATTTCATACGGGAAGCGCGCATTACTTCACCCGTTAACACGTGTACCTGCATTTTTTAAATAATAATAAATAAATGAAAAAAAAGAATAAGATTCATGGATATTTATATATTTTTTATAAATGGTCAATTTTGACTAAGCCCACCTATAGGCCTTACTTCACTTTTGTCTTTGAACTTTTACTTTGTTTTGCAAGCCACTTGGCTGGTTTGATATTGCTGTCTTTTGAAAAAAAAAACTGGTTTTGTTGTGCTGTAAGAATAAGTTTATTTTTGCTGCTTCACTTTTTAGTTTTTTTTTCATAAAAAATTGTGAAAATAAGCTGTTTTTAAGTGTTTACTAAACATCTTTTTAAGCTCAATTTTTTTATATATCTATTTTTTATAAAAGAACGTCAGTATCAAACCAATACTTATAACATCTCAACTTAGACTTTGATTTCACGGTGATGACTTTAACGTCACGTTTTGACCTCAAATGTTTTTCTAACCAATTTGTTAAAGTTGATGTGAAATTGATATCAAGCTCCTAGCGTCAAATGCTTTGTTTTGATTTTTTTAAATAATTTCCACCACTTTCAAAGCAACTTATTCATTTTTCATTGAGTAATACTTTGCTACTCAAGATAAGTAAGAACTCATATTCAAAATTATTCAAAATTTCTCAAAATTGTTCGTTGTCAATTTATGAAACTTCGTGTTTATAATCAAAACCCTTCATATTATAAATCAGCCTATAAAGATCGTCTTTGTCGAAAATCAATTAAAACTAAGGTCGCATCATCAAACTGTTTAAAAACAAATGAACAGTATTGGTAAAAGCATTATGTACCTTCTATATATTTGCTACAATAGATTGACTAAACGACCTTAATTTTAATTTATTTTTGTAAAGAAGATCTTTACAGTGTGATTCATAATATGAACGATTCTTATCATGAGCATAAAACTCTAAGATTAAAACACTAAGAGTTTTGAGTCTGAATTTATACTCAAAGAATTTTCATTGATTGAGATTCACCAAAAAATAATATTGTATATTTATGTATGGGTCCCACTTAAACAAAAAATTCAAAAATCTTCATTGGAAAATGAGAACTTAAAAGTTGTTATTTAGATATTTTTCACCACTTTCAATTTGACTAAACCGGAAAAAGATCCTCATCGGATTTTTTTTTATGAGGATCCGAAGAATCCGTGATCGTATCTATTCATTGTACATCGTGTGCTATTTATATTTAATTTTAAATTTTAAATTTTAAATAATTTTTTACCACATGATATAGGATAAGTGAACACGATCATAAGATCCTCTAGATCCCCATAAAAATGATCTAGCGAGGATCTTTTTCCGACTAAACCCACCTATAAGCCTTGTATCACTTTTGTCTTCGAACTTTTACTTTGTTTTGCAAGCTACGTAGAACATCTCCAACCGAGTCTTTGATTTTACAATAGATGCTCCAACATTTTGTTTTGACAGCAGATGTTTCTCTAATCGATTTGTTAAGGTTGATGGGAATTGATATCAAGCTGCTAGCGTCAAAGAAGTAGGATTCTCTATTCTCTTTTTTTCCCTTCCGTTATCTCCCCTCCTATTTGAACGGTTACGGTTAAGTCATGTCAACATCTTATATTAATTTTTTATAACAAGAGAAAGACAAAATAAGAAAATATGAGAAGAAATGATGAAAGATGATGAAAAAAGAATGAGAGAGAATCCTAATCTAGCGTGAAATGCTTTGTTATGATTTTTCAAATAGTTTCACCACTTTCAAAGCAACTTATTTATTTTTCATTGGTTTGACTGAGTCCCACCAAAAAGTAATGTTTTATATAATATGTATGGGAAATGAATCATTTTCGGATCCCTTCCATCAAATCTATCAAATCAATAAATTCGAACTCTTGAAATTTGATCAAACAGCTAAAAACAGAAAGCTCATTTAAAAATCATAATAACTTTAACCGTTAAATCAAATTTTAAAAATTTAGATTCATTTATTGGGTGAATATAATGAAAAGAATCCTTTCCATATGTATGCGTCCCACATGGACAAAAAAACACAACTACACAGGCATCAAATAAAAATTAGATACATATCTTTTGACATCCTCACAAACATGGGAAACAAAGTTTTGAAGTTTTTATTTAGAATACACATAAATTGGTATTTACAAATTAATGATTGACCAACTCCCATCACCTGTTATAAGTGAGTGAGTATACAGTCTCTATCTGCATTTCCCTACTAATAATCTTAACTCCACGGAAAAATCGATCCTCTCCCCGACTATGAACCCGCCGTGTTAGCTCCAAGTCCTCAACTCGACACCAGCTTCCAAATCCCGCTCAGTTGATTCACCGGTGAAGCTTATGCAACTTCATCAGAGGCACACCAAGCAATGGAAAATCTCTACTGGAGCTGCGCATTGGCATTCCCGAAGAAAAGGGCTTCTTCCAAATGGAACGTGAGATAAAATTTGATAAAATTTGGTTCCATTTCATCCGATTTCAGAGGTTTAGGATGAAGAATGATGCAAAGCCACCTCTCTCAATTAGAAGCGTGTGGAGGGATCGATATATGCAATTTATCCTGCAATGGTGCACACGTAACATGCCAAGATATCTACTTAGTGGTCATATATAAAAAACTCTAAGGCTCTAGTTACCATTGAAATTTAGTTTTCCAAACTTCATTGACCTATGGATGTTGAATTGAAAACTTACTATTAGGTTTATGATTGAAAAGGTCTGACGGGTGAATATCGTACAAACGGATGCTCAAGTAGGTCACTAGCTGATAGTCTCTCCATAGGGTTCCTACGGAAGCACCATTGGAGGAAGTCCTTTCCCTCTGCAGACAATGTTTCTGGTATATCCGGGATGGTGTTTAGAACCTTGAACATAGCTTGAGGCTGGCAGAAGGAAGACAACATGATGTTAAAAACTTATAAAGCAATAAAGCTATTCTCGAACCGCATGTTGTCGGATTTTTACTGTACACATGAAACTAGGGGTAGTTGACAATATTCTGAAAAAATCCAAAGCCATGATGAATAAAACATAACAAGTTTCAACATGAACTCACTCCTGTAAAGTCACTCCATGGAGGTTTTCCATTGAACATCTCAATGACGGTACAACCCAAGCTCCATATATCAACAGCCAAAGCAAGATCAGGATCAGCATTGTTGTGCATTGCAGCCCTTATGACCTGCATGAAACAAACCAAGCGAATATAATCGATATACAGTGTTTACAGGCCATCTACGATTTTGTATATAATGATGATGTGCTTACCTCAGGAGCCATCCAGTATGGACTGCCCTTCAAAGAAAGATTGTACGATTGCCCATTGAGCTGAATACAAAAAGTAAGTTAAATATGAAACCCCGAAAGTACTGCAGGGAGTGCTCAGAGTCATATGAATTGGATTGTTCAAAAATTGATTTGTCAAGTTTATGTCAGGAGCCAAAGCAAACTGAAGGTGTTTACAATTTATTACTCACAAGTTTTGCCATCCCAAAATCGGCAAGTTTAACAACGCCTGACGCATCAACAAGCAAATTTGCACCCTTTATATCCCTAGAACAAACATCGAAACATCGTCAATAAAGCAAAGTAAGCTCCGAAGGAATACAACATGATCAGCTAATAACCTTTCTTTAGATTAATAATTGGAACATCATTAATAAGGCAAAGAAAGCTTGGAAGGAATGCAACAGTGATTCTCCAAATGTTTTGCCCATTTTAACCAGCTGGAAAGGTATTAAGAATCTCTGCAGCATATCCAAATATTCTCTTTGAAGAAAAACATTTTGCCTAAGGTTCTTGTCTCATCATTTGTTGAGCCGTGGCAATTTGTGAAGTAACAAGCTCTTTTTAACAGATAAGTGATGTCACAATATGTTATATAAATCTGCTACCAAGCATTATTATCACCTGTGAACTGTCTTCGTGTTGTGCAAAAAAGCCAACCCAGAGAGGATATGGCGAGTAAAATTGCGAACTACAGATTCTGTCATAACTCCAATATGGTCTTGGACATATTTATTAATCGATCCAGGATGAACATATTCCAAATATATGTAGAAGTGATCATCGGTCTGCATATGCATAAACAATACTCCCCAATTTAGCAAAACTTGCAAAGATTAGATTTTAATAAACTTTCACATGTAAGAAAGATACTCACCATCTCACTACCATAATACTGCACAATATTTGGATGCTTTAGGGTGCGGAGGACTTTGATTTCCTGCAACAGGTAGCTAGTAAGAACGGTTCTAGAACATACTAAAGATAAATGGGAAACATAAAAAGCTACCCCAGAATGTACAGTAGCATAGTTGAGCACATCTGATATGTAACTTGATCATAGGCGAAGAGATGTACTATGAAGGGTTTTGACCTTCTATCCTACAGAAAATATTGACCGACTCACTCCTTCCTATGATCAATACAAGCAGACACAGTGCAAGTACATGCAAAACTTTCCCTAAATCTGCAGATTTGGTTGGTCCAGAGAAATCTAAAGGTAGACAACAATAAGCTACAACTGCTCTATGAATTGAAACTAGTAAAGGACTCCAGAAAAGGACCTGCTCCAATTGCCTTATACATTCAGCAGCTTTAGGATCATCAGGGATGAGATCAACTTCCTTCATTGCACATAAGGCCCCGGTTTCACTGTCATATAATCAGAAAATTTTAAAAGAGCTAAATTCAAAAGAACAAAACAAAATAATGATCATTGCAAAATAAAGTCAAGAGAAAGTAGCACAAAGCTTCCGGGGACTAGCATACCGGTTGGTTGCGAGATAAACACTACCAAAGGTGCCGCGCCCAATAAGTTTTCCCTTCTGCCATTGACCTTTCATTGATGATGTGGATAGAGCTTCTGCATTGTACTGCATGACAGATTGCTGTGGTGGCAGAGGCAAGGGGTGTGCACTGACTTGGCTAATACTTTCAGCCCTCTCTAAAGAATGCAAAGGAAATGCATTTCCATTTGAAATTTTCTGGTTGAAGCGTGGACTTCGAGATGTAGGAGAATGGCTGGGGCTATGAGCAGGTCTATTTGGGGATAATTTTGGAGGAAAGGCGTCCTGATTTTGTTCGTGGGGAGCCCCAAAAGAAGTAAAAAAGTCCCCCGTGGGAGTTGATCTCCTGGGACTAACTGCAGGACTTGTTGGAGCACTCCTGCTGGTGTTGCAAGTTTCATATTCGTGCGGCGTTCCCCTATGGCAGTTGCTTGAACAATTAACGGGTGAAGTGGGGGCAACAAGTATCGGATAACTATCGACCGTTTTCGATCTTTGGGGGCTAAACGGATGGCTTGATACACCATTCGCCAGAGCTTTCCTAGAAAGAATATTCAGACCAAAGTTATTAAAGAAACCACCACTGTTAGCATCTTGGGAGAGTGCCCCTCGACGATTGTTCGAATAGGCACTAGCTGGTGCTGCTGATCCTCCTGAGGTTGTGGCAACTTGACTCGAATAAGAACTCGGCGCTGCAGATCCTGAGGTTGTGTGACCTTTGACCTTCCTGATAGTTCAAACAGTAAAAAACCACCCCAGTGCGGCATTTTAACAAACACATAGTAAGCACTTATCAAATACCCACAAACAAAAAACTGATGAATTCTAAAGGCTTCTCTTTTACCTGCAGCCAAAGTACCCATCTTTAGCAAATTCGGGTTTCCGGGTCACGTGCGATTCAGGGAGGGGCAAGGGCTGCGGAGCAGCAGGCGCAGAAGACCAGTGGATTGACTTGGACCCGCGACCCGGCGATCTTGACTTCTGGGTCGAATATTCCGGAGAAGTAGGCGAGGAGTAAGATTTTTCAGGGACGGTAGAACCCAGGTCCTGGCTGTTGAGGTGGCGGAGCTTCCTCTGCCGGGTGAGCCGCCGCGGGCTCTGGTCGGAGCTGCCCCCACCACTGTCCTGTTTCAGAGCAGGAACGGAGGAAGTAGCAGAAGAAGAACAACCAGGGGAGGAGGAGGTTGTAGTTTTGCAGGGTTTGTGAAGAGGAAACGAAGAAGAAGGCATTTGGGCTTTCGAGAAAAGCACTTGCAGAAGAAGCTTAAGCTAAAAGCCGTCGTCTTGAAGTATCAGAATCTCAGGTATTTTCTTTTTTTTTACATATGTGGAAGAGGAAGCAGCTGCGTCGTTTCTCGCTCGCTTTGATCTGAATTTCCTTGAGAATTAAAATTCAAACATGTTGAATTTTTTGAAAAAAAAAACAAAAAAAAGTAGTTGGAAAAAACAATAATCCTTCGAGTTTAAGACACAATCATGTTATAAGAAGATGACTAAACGGGAGACTTTTGAGATTCGAGAGGTTGTCGTCGGTGGTGTTGGAGGGTTTGGGGAGTACGATAAGAATAAGAAGAAGACGACGACGACCCAATGAATGATGTGAGTGTGTTCACAACGTCAAGGCATGCGACGACCTTCTGGTTCTTCCATTTTTATTCACTTTAATTTAATTTAACTTGGATTAATTAATATTTGAAAGTACTGACGGTGTTGCTGCTTTAAGAGATATTTCTTCTCGATCATCTTTTGTACGTGTGGTCACGGTTAAGTCACGTCAATATTTTATATTGATTTTTTAATAAAAATAATAAAACAAAAAGTAATAGGAATATAAAATGTTGACGTGGCTTAACCGTGACCACACAAAACAGAAGATGATGGAAATGGGAGGGCAAACAATCCATCTCCTTTTTTTAGTGTGATCGACACACGAGGTGGTTCTCATTATATAAATAGTGGAATATGTGTGTTAAAAAATTAATAACTTAAAGGAACTTCAAATGAGATGTCAAAATATAAATGTTAAATATTAATTTGATGGCTCACGTGGCAATGTCAGATTTTCTCTTTTTCTAACCGATATGTTTATTTGTTATAAATGATATTTGTAGGATCTATTTTAAAAAGAAATCAATTAAAATACATTTTCAAAATCTATAATTTGTGCATTAATAGGACTCACACAATAAAATAATTAAAAAAAATTAACATCATTTTTTCTTATATATCAAATTTAACATATAAAAACTCATATGTCAATCCACATAGGATTGTCATATTAGTTGGAGTTCGTTCTTACCTTCAAATTTAATTATATGACATTTCATCTATGATTTGACATTCATTTAAAGATAATCTTAAAAAATAAATTTTTTTACTATTTACATAAAAACGCGCTGTGTATTTTTACAATTAAAAATTTCTCCTGCATTTGAAGGTTGATGTTTTTTTTATAAAGATGGTGACGAAAGCTAAGATACGCCGTATGCGTACTGCAAGGACTAGTTGAGTTGAGTTCGAGGAGCTGAATCAGTCACTCAGCTGAGGGGAGGAGGAGGAGGACTTTGTCAATGGATATGTGAAAAACGACTTGGATTTGATCTTTTTGCAGCCCGGTTGACACCCTGTTACGCTGTTTTACTGTGTTCTTCTTCGACGTTTTAAATCATTTGTGGATAGAGGGAGACTTACATAGGAGAAATATTATGGTACATGTATGTCGTTACAGTGGTATTTTTTGATAACAAATATTCGGAAGTTTTTGTCCACGTGTTCTTATTTTATTGATACAGAACGTCATGTGACGGTTTATTCGTATAATGTACGTTGTTCTTCGCATAAAGAGATTTGATCGGTAGTTTATCGTCTTCTTATCCAGTGAAGGAGTTTAAGTCTCGTTGTAATATAATAGAGTAACTTAAAATGTTGTTTGGTCAAAAGAAAAGTCTTAAGCATTTTGGACCATATAAACCATGTGTATTTACTCAAAATCAATACTAATATCTCAATGTAAAGAAAGCGTATTAACGTGTCTCAAAACTATCTATTTGTCAAATTCTTAACATTTATTAATAATGTGTGTTTTTGGATAACCATATGCACGAAACGACTGGTCGAATCAACCGTTTTGTAAGTCTGACATCACAATATGTAATTTCCATTATGTAAGTCTCACATCACAATATGGAATTTAATGCCTCCCAAACTAACAAATTTGATTGATTGTGTGGGTAGTTCATGCTTATTAATTTTCTCATATCTTTTTTTTTTCCCGATAAGAAAATGAACAATTATAAAGAAAAGCCCTATAAAACAAGCAGCAACAACAACAACAAAGTATTTTTTTAATTCAGTGGAGTCGGCTATATGAATCATATAACGTTATTACGCTCAGTTCTGTGTCACGTCTTTCGTTAAATCCAAGTACTTTAAATCTTTTCTTAGAGTCTCTTTCAAAGTCTTCCTAAGTCCTCTATCCCTTCAGCCCTGAACCTCTGTTTCGTAATCACATCTTTTAACTGGAGCGTCAGTAAGCCTTCGTTTTATATGTCCAAACCACTGTAACCGATTTTTTTTTATCTTTTCTTCAATTTCGGTTACTCCTACTTTACCTCGGATATTCTCATTCATAATCTTATCACCACACATCCTCCCATAAAACAAGCAAAACTACAAAAATTTCAAAACCAAGCAGACCGCGCCTAAACGGAAGTAATTTGCCAGAAAGACGAGTTATTTCATTCTCTTATATTCTTGACTTTACCTTATACACTGTTTTTTCTTTCACGAAGCAATTTGTATAAAAAGTCTAATGTCTTGCTTGTAAAACGCGTAATTAATGTACGAGTGTTGGAATACCAGAACCTCATCGTCGTCAACCCAACAACGCAACACCCACTCATCCAGGCAACTGAGGCATCCGACCCAACCGAGGCAACGCAACGTTGCATGACTTTTATACGTACGTTGATTTCCATCCCATGTCAAAATTTGGTTTTGAATAGCCACGTCCTCCTCCTCCTTCTCGATCACTTTCTGTCTCTCTTAAATCATAGTATTCTTGAGCAGCTAGTCGTCGTCCGGCTGTGCTGTTGGGGCGGCGTGCGTTAAGGCTTATCATCCCATGCCATAAAACCTTAATTTCTAAGCTTACCTTTGCGTTTAACAAACTCTAACCTAAAGGCTTCAATGCTATTTAGTACTAGGATCTAGTGATATTCATCTTCAATTGTAAATGTGATGTTTTAAGTTCGATTCTCACCCGATGTGAGTTTGAACCATATTATTGCTAATATTGGGAGATAAGCTCATCTCTTCCCGCTTAGTATAAATAATATCGTATATAAATGGAGATGGTTGGTAAGTTCATCATTGTTCAAAGTATATTTCAATGAAAAAAACTATAAACATAAAATAAATACAATTAAAGCAATAAAAAAGTCAATTGTTACACAGTATGCTTGCAGCAAGACGTTAGTTTTTTTCTTTTTAAAATAAAAAGATAAGAGGACAGAATTATTTAGAATATAACATACATAAAGACAAAATGTTATAAATGGACAAAAGTTAAAAATATAACTTTTGCTAGGGATAGGAGCGAAACAGGTGCAAAATATCACACTGTTTATCTTCGTAATTATAACACAAAAGGATATCAAGTAAAAAGAGGAAGTGATGGATACTGATATTATTGCTTTCAATTGTTTTCTTTTGCAGTGTGTTGTGATCACACACAGAGGGCTTTTTAAATAGAGTCACTCCCGTGAAAACTTACAAAGGTGAAATTGTGTTGTGATCACACACATAGTGCTTTTTAAATAGAGCCACTCCCCTGAAACTTACAAAGATGAAATGAGTGTTCTTTGAAAACTTCATACAACAACATGATCACTATTCTAAAGTCTTCTCACCTTTTGCCAAAAGCATGTGGGCATTCACCCATAACTCTTACAACACTTCCCCTTGGATGCCTACAATATCAACATCAGTTACCTCGTTAAAACATTGCTCGAAAAAATCTAGTGGGAAAAAACCATAGTGAAGGAAAAAGAGTACATCTTTACTTGGATTGTTGATATAGTGCTAAGCATGCTTATATTGGCCCGCTAAAACCTTGATAGGAAAAACCAAGTGGGAAAAATCCTAGTTGAAGGAAAAAGAGTATAACATGCATGTATCATAGATGCTCCCCTTGATTTCACATTCTTCAAATTTAACTAATTGGTAAGTCAACATAATCCGATACCCTGCACTAGCTTCTGAAACGCGCATTTGGGTAGAGATTTGGTGAACAAGTCTGCCAAATTTTCATTGGAACGGATTTGTCTGACTTCAATAACTTTAGCCTTCTGAAGTTCATGTGCATTGAAAAACTTTGGAGATATGTATTTAGTCTTATCATCCTTGATGAATCATTCCTTCATTTGGACAACACATGCTGCATTATCTTCATGAATGATAGTTGGAATGTTTGTCTTTGAAGGTAGACCACATAAATTCCGGATATGATGGATCATTGATCTTAACCAAGAACATTCACGACTTGCTTCATGTAAAGCAACTATTTCCGAGTGATTAGAAGATGTAGCAATTAATGTTTGCTTTGTTGAGCGTCATGAGATTGTTGTATCTCCATTAGTGAACACATATTCAGTTTATGAGCCGGCTTTATGTGGATCAGAAAGAAAACCAGCATCTGCATATCCAACAAGAATCTGGTCATTTATGGATTTCTCTGAGTAGAAGAGACTCATGTCTGTTGTCACATGAAGGTATCGTAAAACATCTTTGACTCATTTCCAATGATGAATTGTTGGAGTATAGTTATACCTTACTAACAAGTTGACTGACAAAGCTCTATCCGGTCGATACATTGTGCTAAATACAATAAAGCACCTATTGCACTTAGATATGGTACTTCTGGACCAAGGATTATTTCATTATCTTCTTTTGGACGAAATGGTTCTTTCTTAATGTCCAGATAACGAACTCAATTGGCGTGCTAAGTGGATAAGCTTTATCCATGCCAAATCGCTTTAGGGATTTTTCAATATAAGCTAATTGATAGACCAAAATTCTATTAGCACAATGCTCAATCTGCAGGTTGAGACAATATTTTGTTTTCCCAAGGTCTTTCATTTCAAATTCGCTTTTCAGATATTCAGCAGTTTTATTGAGCTCTTCAGAGGTTCCAACTAAGTTCATATCATCGACAAATACTGCCACTATAGCAAATATTTCTTAATGAACAACAAGGGTAAATGACATTGTTGATATATTTTTCTTTTATCAAATACTCACTGAGACGATTATACCACATTCGTTCAAATTGCTTTAGGCCATATAATGATCACCTTAATTTGATTGAGAGCATACCTCGTGGTTTGTTAGTCATTTCAGGAAACTTAAGTCTTTCTGGGACCTTTATATATATGTCAATATTTAATTCTCCATATAGATATGTGGTGATGACATCTATAAGTCGCATGTCAAGTTTTTCTGAAACCACTAAACTTATTAAGTAACGGAACGTAATTGCGTCCATTATAGGAGAGTATGTATCTTCATGATCAATTATAGGTCTTTGTGAAAAACCTTGTACAACGAGTCGTGCTTTATAACTTGCAATCTCGTTTTGCATTGCGCTTTC